GCAGTGCGTTCCGCCGGGCGGCGCGGGGCGTGATGGGAGGTGTAGTCCGCGGAGCGCGGCGGCGCTGCGTGCGCGCGAGGCGGGGTGGGAGGTGTAGTCCGGGATGGTCAGGCCTCTCCGTTCTGCGCGTTGTTAATTAAACAGAGTAATTAACGGTGGGAAAGCCTTCAAGCTCCAGCCGTGACCCAAAAGCGCCTTGTCCCACAGATCAGGGCCCCGAGCGCCACGTCCAGTCGGCTGTGCCCAGCCTGTGCCAGCGCCCAGGGAACGGTCCCGTTTATGGGTTCCATAAATAATCTTATTTAGGGAATCTTGGAATCGCTCAGGCTGGAAAAGCCCTCTAAGATCTCCAAGTCCAACCCTAGGATCTAAGATCGCCAAATCCAACCCTTCCCCCAGCACTGCCATGACACCCCTGACCCGTGTCTCTTAAGTGCCACCTCCTCGTGTTTTTGGGGATGGGGACTCCAGCACCGCCCCGGGCAGCTGTGCCAGCGTTGTGTTCCCATTTCCGGGGAAAAATTCCTGCTGATGCCCAACCTCAGGCCGCACCCTTTCCTCAGGAAGCAGAGCCTGACCCCCACGGCTGCCCCGCCTATCAGGGAGTCGTGAAGAGCCAGAAGGTCCCTCCTGCTCCCTCTTTTCTCCAGGATAAACATTCCCAGCCCCTCCATGTCCCCTCCTCATCCAAGGGCCGGGGCGGGGGGCGGCACCTGGGACAACACCGGCGTTCGGACTACACCTCCCAGCATGCCCCGCACCGGAACTTCCGCCACCTCCGCGCTATAAAAGCGCGCGCCGCCGCCGGCGCCGCTCAAACGGTCCGCGGGCGGTGCGAGGTGAGGGGCGCCTGAGGGGAGGGCGCAGGTCCGGAGATCTCGGGGATCCCCGGTCCCCTCGGTGCATCCCGGCGGGTCCCGGCGGATCCCGGCTCCCCTCGGGGTCTCCCGGCGTCCCCAAACCCCCGGGAGGATTTGCGGGGCCGGGCCGGGCCTCAGCCCCGCTCCGCGGCCTCTCCCGGCGCGGGGCTCGGGCCCAGCTCCGATCCCTGTGCCGAGAATTCCCAAAAAACAGCCCCGGGAATTCCCCCCGCGGCGTGGGGAAGGAAGGAATGGGGTTCATTCCCGGTTTTCCCTGGATTTTTGGGACTCTCCCGAGCCTCTCCCGGCCCTGGGCTGGGGCCGCGGTTCCCGGGAATTTTCTCCTTCCCTGGAAAGGCGAAACAGCCTCGGGAATTCTCCCAGCCGGCGTGGGAAGGGAATAATTGGGATTCGTTCCCGTTTTTCCGGCTTTTCCCGAGGTTTTGGGATCCATCGTGGTGCGGGACATCCCCGGGAGGGAGAATGAGGAATCCTTTCCTTCCCTGGGAGGAAAAAGATCCTGAAAAATAATTCCTGAAAAGAAAAAAAAAAACACCTTTCCAATACTTTAGTGTTTGCAAGGAAAACAGAGAATAAATGGGGTTTAAGAACATTCTCAGGAGCTCACCCTCCACAGGGAAAACCGGGAATAACTGGGATTCATTCCTGTTTTTCTGGCTCTGGAGGGTTTTCCGTGGGTGGGAGTGAGGATTCCTGCTGTTCCAGAGTGTTAGGAAAGGTTTTCGGAGGTGGACCAGGATAAAAGGAGCCTGAGATAACAATTAATGCTTTCCCTGGCAGCAATTTCCCTGGAAATGAGGAATTTCCCTGGATTTCTCTCCTTGATCCCCAATCCCAAGCAGGTGAGAGGCAGCAGAGCCTTGGAAAACCCTGAATTTGAGGGAAATAACCCCAAACCGGGAATCCCAGATCACCTTAAGCTGAAGCTTTTCCCAAATTCTGGGGATTTCCAGTCTTCCCAAAAACTGCAGTGTCCCAGAATTCTGGGGGATGCAGAATCCGTGGAAAACCCACTGAAAGGATTTCTCTGAATCCCTTTTTTGTCTTTATTCCCAGATGTTTCCCGCTGGGCTCTGGCTCTAGGATGTTGGAGAACCGAGAGGAAGTGAGGAGCATTCCTGGTTTATTCCCAAATCCTGGAATTGGGGCGAGTGGAATCCTTGGGAATTCCATCT